TAAAATAACTAACAGGAATAAAAAATAATTTATGATAATTAAAGAAATAGTTAATTGTAAATATATTTACTACTAAATGTGCGAGTATAACCTACTTATTTTTAATCAATACTTTCTGCATTGCTTGCAAAGAAATAATTTAATAAATAATTACAATAACTAATAAATACTTTTATGTATTTAACCCAGCTAACAAAGAAAGTTATATTATATTAATCTATGTATAAGATATATTACTATAATATAATTTCCTAAAACTGTAGATTTTATTAATAGGTTTCAGTCGTTTTGAATCAACATCTAAATTTGAAATGTCCGTGAAAAAGTAACATTTCAATTTAATTATAATTAATGTTGTGTGCAATCTGTTCTATCCTTCTCAAATAAAAAGTAGATTTTTTAGAATAATTAACATCGTTGTTAAAATCAAATAAAGAAGAACATACACGCCTGTCAATATTATTAGTGGTTGATTTTTTCTGTTGGTGAAACGAGAAGATGGTACCAAGGTTTCTGATAAAATTAATAAGTACGTCGTTAGAACATTTATTTAATATTTGAATAGTTAACTCTTGAATATATCTTACGGAATTCTGAATAATTTAATTTTGATTCAACCATCATCAATTTCTTCAAATTAAGTATTATAACAATGTTACATTTGAAGGAAATGTTAAATAAATACTTTATTATATTAAAGGTATTTATACGGGGTTTTCACGCAACAGGTTGACTAATAGTTTTTTATGATGTATTTTATACACAAATTTGAAATTCTTCAAAAGAGTTTTGGTATTGCGTCTCTGAAAGAAAAATCTATAATGTAGGAGTTAAAGTTTTTTTCTAAATAACTCTGGATAGAATCCAAATGGTAGAATTCAAATGGAAACTAGCTTGTCAGTTTTTATTCGTAAATAATAATAATAATAATAGTGTTTATTTCCAGCAGGTAATTAGAGCCCACTTACAAGAAATACAATCTTAAAAATAGGTTGTCACTAAACATTAAATATCAAATTTACAAAAACCAAGACCAAGAAAGAAAAGCAAATTACAAAAAATAAAGAGAAAAGTAAACCTAAATGAATAAATTATGATAATAACAAATTATTAATTATTAAATTATTATTATAAACCATTGTTATACCTTTGTTATAAACCATCGTTAACTATTCATGCCCCTCACCCACTAGTGAGACCAAACGATCCACAGAGCAGTCAAACACATTACAGTAAACGGAGACAGAGTTAAGGTTGCTACACATGGTGAAAATCGGATCCTGAAACTTAACGTTAGTTCTGGCTTGAGGAAGCGCAAAAGTGGTATTCGCTCTGAAGGCAGGTCGCGGCATCCGGAAGCATTTATACATTCCGTACATGTATACGGCACCTAGCACAATCCCATTGGTCAGATTCGAATTTTAAACCAATTAAACTCCGAGTGCCATACGCGTGTATGGAATGTAAGACAGTGCCATGCGCACTTACGGAATGTACCTGGTAATTATGCTTGCAGCAGAAAGTAACGCCTGGCTATAGCTTTTTTTTTTGAGGAGGAGGGGAAAAATCTTGCATAAGACACCGTTGGGTAGTGTCGGATTCCTACCGACTAAAAAAACCCTCCTCGCATTCCATCGCTCTATCCAGCTGGAAACCGCTTGCGCATTACTTCAGCTGGAAGGCTGTCTATGCGGTTAGGCCATGCCTTCTATTTCCTTTGGTTTCTATTATTTCTCGAATGCATCTATATGTAAAGTGCGTCTGCTGGATCTGTGTCTATGAAAGGAATGCGGACAAAAAAACATTTAAATAAACAGCAATATATTTTATACGTTGACTTGACGAGTACGCCACCGCAAATCGCTCCGCCCACTCATTTTATTGGCTACTTGCAAATTTGTCGAATTTTTGTTGATGGGACGCGTCTAATTTTTTACGAAAAACATCGAGAGAATACCGTTTCCCCTCGCACTGTAATTTTCCATGATGTTTCACCACTTAGCAGCCCTTGCATCATATTTTTGGCATTAAAGACTTGTCCACCACTGTCCCGTTGGAATGACTCTAAACTGCTTCCATTCATTGCATAGGAATAGTGTGTGTTCGACACTGTCAACTTCCTTGCAATACATACACAAATTTGAGGTGGATCTCTCCCTTTTATGCAAATAGTTGTTAAAGCATCCGTGCCCTGTCAATGCCTGAGTTAGGAAATAGTCCGTCTCTCCAAAGCTTCTGTCTAACCAGATATTAATGTCTGGTATGAGATCATGTGTCCATCTACCATATCTATCTAGATCCCACTCCTTTTGCCATTCAATCATCAGTATGCTTCTTGCCTCCAGTTTTGATGTCCCTTTGTATCTCTCTCTTCTCTCCTCTACAAGTAGGTGAATATGCGGCACCCCTAATATGACATTTAATGCTTCAGCGGAGACGGTTCTATATGCACTGTAGATCTTGAGGTTCAGTTTACGGTGTATAGTAGGGTGGATCGAAAAATCGAAGTTTTGAAAATTGTTTTGGAATACTGCGCAAAAGTTGCCAATTGGTATTAGAAAAGTAATATCTATTTATAGTTTTTTCAATTTTTCTTTCATCTTCTGCTCTCTACCGGGCTTTAAAAAAAGTAAAAAATACAAAAATATAAAATTTTGATGTTTAGCCAAAAATTGAGGTAATAAGTAACTTTTGTAATTAGAAATAATATATCTTATTTAAATATGACATTTTACCCCCCTACTCAGTGTACCCTATGTACCAAGGTCAAACATTTTTTTTATAAATACCCAAATATTTACACACTTTAACAAAGAGTTAAAAATGTGTCGAGCAAAGCACTTAGAGCAGTTTTTCGCTTGTTTAACAATATTTTATGTGTTCAGTATTGTTAAACAACCGAACTTACCACGGGGAGGTAACTGCTCGGCGAGTTTTATCCCACCCTCCCTCATCCATTTATTTTTGCTCACTTATTGATTGTAGTCTTTTTTGACTCTTTTTTTATAAATACCCAAATATTTAACACTTTAACAAAGAGTTAATATTGTGTCGAGCAGCGCACTTAGAGCAGCTTTTCGTTTGTTTAACAATATTTTATGTATTCAGTATTGTTAAACAACCGAACTCACCACGAGGAGGTAACTGCTCGGCGAGTTACATCCCACCCTCCCTCATCCATTTAGTTTTGCTTACTTATTGATTGTAGTCTTTTTTGACTCAAATTGTGGCATAAGTTTGCCCTAATTTATTTTTGTCTTTACAACTGATAAAGATGCTTTGGTTACAAGTTTTACGCATCTCTCTACTGATTGGGTGTGACAAGGAAATGCAGCGATGTCGATGATTATTTCAGAAGAACTAAAAATCATATTTTTCAAATCATCTACTTACAAAGTTTGGAGCAAAGTTATTTCATTTTTTTGCCAATCAATTAGATCAACATAGTCATCTGCGTCAAAATTAATTTGTGAGAAGATAAAAAGTCGGATATTGCGTATTGATTGTCTTGAATTTTGCATTTAGAATGCGGCGAAGTGCAAGCTCTCTTATATGGGGGCGAGTGTCATGTAGCATGTAGCATACATATCAGAAGATTTTCGGGATGGACAAAATAGGCATTTCTTTGTATTACAAGGTCTATAACACTTTTTAAACCTTGCTCTAGGTATCGGCGTTTTATTGTTTGTTAAAGATGTTTGGCACCATTTACACATGAAGAGTTGCATTTAATATGAAACCATAAAGGAGCATAAACCTTGGCAATAAATTTGAACAGTTCCTTTAATTGTAATATTGGATTTTCGGTACTAACATAAAGACGTAAGGTACGATTACCCAAAGTTATCAAACAGGCAAGTATTCTCGGTTTGAAATTCCTGAAGGCGTTTTTTGTAACTATCATTTTTCTTAACTTCTGGATACCTCAAAAGTTTTAGATATTTGTCGTGATGGGTTTTTATTAATTGTAAAACACGTTTTTTTGTCACTGTAGGAATTGATGCCTTTTGCCACAAACTTATAATTCCGTCAGACGGTTGGTTCCTTTCCTGAGTTTGCAGGTTTCAGATTATACCTTGTCCATAAATAACACTTTAAAACATCAGCTTCCGAAGGAAGTAAGTTATTTTTAATATATGCAACGGCATTTTTTCAATTTTAGCTAACTTAACCTAACCTAACAGCCGGTAGAGGACAGAAGACGTGATTTTATAAAAAAAAATTAAATAAACTACTAAAGATAACTTTTGGTAGGTATTCCAAATCGATTTTTCAAAAAAAAAAAAAAAATTCATTTTTTAAGGGCTGGTAGAGGGCAGAAGATGTGATTTTATTAAAAAGTTGTAGTAACACTTTTTTATCAACATTACCAAAGGCAACTTTTCGTATGTATTCCATGTCGATGTTTTAAAAATTTTAAAATTTTGATATCTGCGATCCACCCTAGTGTATAGCTTTAAGTTTTTGCCTTATATATCCCTTTGATATTGCGAAGTGCCACACTGGGGCGGCATATAACAGTTGAGAGTGTGCTATACAGGCTAGGATTCGACGTTTGGAAGCAAGTGGCCCTCCTATATTAGGCATCAGCCTACCCAGTGCGGTCAACGTTCGTTCCGCCTTTCGAATAACTTGATTTATATGCTCGCCGAATGTAAGCTTTGAATCAAGCCAAACTCCAAGATATCTTATTGCATTCTTTGGTGAAATTGTTGTACCGAGAAGCTCAAATGATATATGAGAGAGTTTCCTCTTGGAGGTTAATAAAACCGCTTCAGTTTTGTTCGGTGCTAGTTTTAAACCTTTGCGCTCGATCCAGTTGGCCACTCTTTGTAGTTCTGCATTAGCAACACTCATGAGTGTCTTTTCGTTTTTGGCCGTTACCACCATCGCTACGTCATCGGCAAAGCAGATTAGTGTTACTCCTTCGGGCATAACCGTTTCCAGTAGGTCGTTGTACAGGATATTCCATAGTGTTGTAAATTCCATGTGTTGTAAATATGCAAAATGAATTGGAAAGAACATCAGCTCGCCAGAAGATCAAATATGAAAAACTCCAACCAAAACCCAAGCCAGAATATAGGACATATCTTGATCCTGCTCGAACCGTGGTGAATCTCTCAGATAGGACTCTCACAACACCAGAAGTAACATTATTAGCTAAGGGAGGAAACTTTGCCATAACACCAAAAGTGGTTCCAGTGGAAGACATTATTGCCGGAACAGAAGCTGCCATACGTAACCTTCCTAACAACATCGCGGACGAGATCCGTTTTGAAACAGCCAACATATTGAGAACTGCTAAGCCTCCAAAAAGCAAACTATCTAGGGAAGAACACCAGGCTCTTAAATCACTGAACGCTGACAAGGACATTCTGGTCTTACCGGCAGACAAGGGGAATGCTATTGTAGTGATGAAAACGGAGGATTATAGGTCTAAAGTCGAGGATCTACTGGAGCCTCAGACTTACAAGTTACTTAAGAAGGATCCTACTGCCTTAATTGTAAGAAACACCAACAAACTCATCAAGGCGTCCTCACTCCCGGAAAATCTAAAATCAAAATTGATTAATTCCGAAGCTCAACCACCACGACTTTATGGACTACCAAAAATCCATAAAGCTAGTATCCCACTTAGACCGATAGTGAGTGCTCCAGGATCGCCTACTTACAACTCGGCTAAATACTTGACTACGATTCTACAACCAAAAGTTGGCAACACAAACTCTTATGTGAAGGACTCAACACATTTCGTTCAAAAGTTAAAAGATCTAAAACTGGAACCATCTGACATCATGGTAAGCTTCGATGTGGTATCCCTATTCACGAGAGTACCCCTAGGCGAGTCAATGGATCTAATTAAGGAATCATTTCCACCTGACATCGCGGAGCTTTTCCGAGTGTGCCTGACTGGTAGCTATTTCTTATGGAACGGCAACTATTACGAACAAACAGAGGGTGTCGCAATGGGCAGCCCAATCAGCCCAATAATTGCGAATTTCTTTATGGAAAGATTTGAAGAAAAAGCGCTAGAGTCATCAGTTCTGAAGCTCGCAGTATGGTTTCGTTATGTGGACGATACATTTGTTGTTCGGAAACATGGACGAGACAGCCTAGATGATTTCCTTCATCACCTTAATACACAGAGCCCGAGCATAAAATTTACCATGGAAACCGAAGAAAACAACCAACTGGCCTTTCTCGATGTGCTTGTCAAGAGAAATGGAGACCATTTGGATCACACGGTGTATCGAAAACCCACTCATACAGACCGGTAGTTGCACAAACTGTCAAATCACCATCCAAGCCAAAAACAAGGGATTATCGGAACACTAGCAAATAGAGCAAGACGCATTTGTTATAAGGATCACATACAAGAGGAACTAAGTCACTTAAATAAAGCCTTTCTTGCTAATGGGTATAATGAGAAAGAAATAAAGGCGGCGCTAGCACCTAGGCAGAGGAGACTTGACGTCAATGAACAGAATAACACCGTTAATAAGGCCTTCCTTCCATATGTCCCAGGTCACCGATAGGATTGGAAAAGTTCTCAGGAAACACAACATCAAAACAATATACAAACCTACCCGGAAAATAAAGGACTGCTTGAGACCAGCCAAAGATAAAAGGGTACCATTATCCTCTACAGGGATCTACCGTATACCTTGTTCCTGCGGTAGCGTATACATTGGAACTACCAAACGCTCAGTAGGAACGAGACTTACGGAACACAAGAGAAGCTGCAGGTTAGGGCAAACAGACAAGTCGGCCGTAACAGAACATGCTCTAAGAGATGGTGACCACAAAATCCAGTTCGAAGACACCCAAGTCATTGCCACAACATCTGGATATCATCCTCGTCTGGTCAGGGAAGCTGTTGAAATTCACAAACATCCAAATAATTTCAACAGGAAGGAAGAAACTCTCTACCTAAACAGAATTTGGCATCCAGCTATATCTAGGACCAAGGTAGCAGTACAGAGAAGTAGACCAGTTCCGGAAGAACCACCACCGGAACAAGCCACGCCCCTTCCGCCGAGGCATAAATACGCGCTACGCCGACGCGGAGGCATCAGTCTAGTGTGAGCAATCGGAGCAAACACACCTCTGAGGATGCTAGCCACTCGTGCTAGCGAAACGTTAGGAAGCAATTTTAACCGACGACGGCCTAAAAACCCGAAAAACCAAAGTTCTTTAAGGATAAGGTGTTCATATAGTTTTCCTTCTATATCTAAAAGACATATCGGTCGGTATGCCGCTGATCCATCTTCTGAGTTAGAGTTTTTAGGAATCAGTACCAGAGCGGCTTTCTTCCACTCGGGAGGAAAGAGCAAGTCTCTTGCTTTGTCTATTAATTGCTTAAGTATTTCGACAGGCACGTTTCCAGATCCAGGGGCTTTTCCGTTTTTTAATTTATCACAGGCTTGTTTCAATGCATTTACACTAAAATCTACAAAACTATCTCTAATATTACAGTTAAATATCACGTTTGGATGAACAGGGAATAGTTTTTTAGCTTCCTCTGCCATTGCTTCAACGCTCAGCTTTGATTTAGAAGGAAACCCAGCTGGTTAGCTATAGCTTAGCCTGGCTATAGTTAATCTTGCAGGAGTATATTTTATTGAGGCCATCGTTTCGTGAACGAGGAGTCCGTGGTTCAAATCTCACGCCGGACCATTTTTTATTTTTTTTAAATTTGTTTTTTAAAAAAAGCTGTAAATATTTAATAGCTATCAAAATACGGATTGCGTTGGTTTCACTCTTTTTGGCGGGTTTAGATTGATTTGGTGGAGTTAGTTTTTTTAGTTACATTTGGTGGAGTTAGTTGCGTTGGTTAAGATGGTTATTTGGTGGGGTTGATTACGTTGGTTAGGTTACCTATTTGGTGGGGTTGATTTGGTTTTGGTTGGTTTTGGTTTTGGTTTTTGGTTTTGTCTAAATATATTACCTACATAATATGAGCCTTGGCGTGTTTGTTTTGACACTCGACACCCTCCAATTAGAATTTGTCATAGACTCAAATTCCTCCACCCATCGTCTAGCATCATTTTCAGTCAATATATATAGATTAATAAATAATATTTTCTTGCCTTTAGCTGTGTATTTTTTCTAATTTCGAAAAATCGAAAGTAGAGAAAAAAAATAATAATAAGAGCTCCCGTATATAGCGTTTAACGCCTTGGGAGTAGCAAGGTACAGCTTGCCATACTAGAGCCGTTCGGTATACAAGGAAGGTAATGTGGCTAGCAATACGCTTCAACCGCCTATTATTACCTCAGGATTGTGAACCCCAAGTACTCATTTAAGGCTGAGTCGACCTAGGTACCCAAACTATTTTTATTTTATTAAAAATAGTCGGCTGATGAAATGCCGGGTGTGAGATTCGAACCCACTACCTTGAGATTGGTAGACGAGAACCTGTACCTCTACGCCACCGGGCACCTAGAAAAAAAATAAAAAGTAAAAAATTGTCTTGCTTGTCGTAAAGGGGGGAACCAATAAGATCCACTCCCACAACCGGTTTCTGGGCTTACCCCTCATCAGGTGGGCTGTCCAGGGGCTGGTTCTCACCGATACGGCAAGCAAGACTTTTCCAATATCAATAGACGATGTAGATATATAGATTTAGATACAGATTTTCTGCTGCAGTATGACTACTAGGTACATTCCGTTAATTTGTTTAAAATTCAAATCTGACCAATGGGATTGTGCTAGGTGCCGTATACATGTACGGAATGTATAAATGCTATCCGCATTGGAATGTGTAAAACAAGTTTACCTAACCAATAAAAGAATTATGTATGTATTGTAACCATAGAGAAAACCTAATAACCCAAGTAGCATTTTTTGACACATTTTAGGTAATGTTTCTAATAATCGTGTCTATATCTTGACACAAAATGGAAACGGTATGCCACAAATAGGAAACAATTTCGAAACCTATATATTTTATATGGCTTTATTACATGTGTTTCCATTGTGGTGGCACTAGCCGTTTCCTGAAATGTTTCGATGCGGAATCAAAACTTTTAGAGGAAATGTTTCGAAACATTTTCTGCAATTTGTGTTCAAGATGTTCCAGCTTTTAGCAGCCACTGTTTCTAAATGTGAAGAAACAAAATACCAAACTAAAATAGTCTGTCTGTGTGTGGATTTCACAATGAAAACAACTATCAACAATGACGACCTCCGCCATAATTTTTTGGTCTTAAAATCTTTGTTTTTAGGTTTTCTCGCCCAAAAAATGTCTGACAAAAGCAGATTCATCTATAATTTAATAATGTACTTTCATATTTTTAATGCCCCTTTTATATATAATTACTTGTTGCTACAAAATATTTTTGTGTGAAATATAGATTTTAATTTTTGTTTCAGATCATGTTCCAAATCAAACCAAACCAAAAACAGATCTTATTTTTACGTGAGAAATTTCCCCACGAGAGATGTCACATATGTTTTGAAACACCCTGTATATTCTATCTGCTTTATATTACTTCTCGTTCTATGTTGTCCAAATTAGAAGTGGATTTCTGATTAACAATTTTACTTAATCTGAGATATACTCAACGTTTTTTCTAACTCGATATTTAGAAATCCCGTAAAAATACATATCAAACTGGGTAGAGCATTAATTTACGTTGACAAACAACCATTTTATGTCATCGCTTGAGGGCAATAGAGCGACAGAAAATGTAAAAAATTAAATCTTGTTAAAATTATACACGTGTTAATGCTTTCGTAAGGTTACTAATAAGGATATTTAATAAATTACAGGTCATTATAAAATCGAAATAAGCCGAGATGATGATAATAATTTCTAAAATAATATTGATTTGAATAACAGCTATATTGAAATTACAATAATCAATTTTACCTGTACATAATATTTAAGAGTTTTGGCATTTAAAAGTATCAGAATAGCAATATATGAATTTTTTATTTTAGGTGATGAATAGTAATTTCAGCATTATAAAATCATCTAACATTTGGAGTAAATATAACAGTTCTAAATAATGCTTATATCTACGTAACGAGTTCATTTCCAAAAAAATCTTTTTTCAAAATAAATCACAAGCCATTTTTTATAGAATTGATCAGAACGTCAACTATTTTAATCGAGGTTTTGATAGACATGTCTATGATAAAAAAACTCAGATCTGTTTCAGTGGCGAAATACTCAGACTTTTTAAAGCTTCAGTTCGAAATCGTGCCTTCTTCCTAGCAATAATATTGTTGCAGACCCGTGTGGACTCGACCTAACCTAACTATATGTCCTGCCCTCAGATGACCTTAACATCGCATTAAAGAATAGACACCGTAATGATTCATTCCAACGTTCGAGAAAAAACGAGTTCCACTGGAATGGAGTAGACATACGAGAACACTCGAAACCTTCTCTATGCACCTAATGATCTATGGATTATTCGAGAAACTCTTTAGCTGTGGGTATAACATACGACGGCTGGGGCCTGAGGAGGACAGAAATAAATAGACGAGTACAGTTGACGCGCTAAATTCAAAATAAATTCTTTCTAGATAAATAGTTATAAATCGTTTGTAAATAGTTCTTTAAGTCTTTTATCGTTATTGTTTTTGTTAATTAGTGTTAAATAAATTGTATTTAAATAAATTGTGACTTTCTATCCACACGGAACCTCTTAAGCATCATATTATTAAATCTATCAAATTACCATGTGCAAATGATCTTTATCATTCCTAAAAAACGGGAATATAGAACATTTGTTCTATTACGTGGTAGGAACTCGTGCCAAGAATATCAAATGAGGTGTTTTTTCCGTACTATCACTTCCAGATCTATGAAACACGATGAACAATTTTATGTGACACCGCTTTTCTGTTACAATAAGTATGCACATATTTAGTACCGCCCGGCTCGTACCGAATGCCACGCTTTGGCCATAATAGTTACATCTGTTTCAGGCCGTTTTCTTACATGGGAAAGCAGCACCAGAATGCCCGCAAAGGCCGAATGAAAAATTTCTAAACAAGCAGTAAAGGCAAAGTGCAAGATGTTCACCTTTTTGTATTTGTTGGTCATGGGATTGAATTATTTATTTATAAATTTTAGACCTTTTCTTAGATCTTTATTTTGACCAAAAAGAGTAGGTTGTATTAATATAAATTCAGATTCACTGATAACATATTGTCTCAAAAAAATATTGTAGATAGAGTAAAATCTCCGTGACACACGAGCGAACCTTCACGGAAAGTAGTAATGATCGAAAAAGTGGTAAGCCAATGAGGAAGTTGAGATGGGTTGAGCTAGTGTGCTGAAACTCGGAATGAAGATGGAGTTCGAAGAGCCCAATCTTTTCGTTATATTTTGACGACGTTTGATGCACTATGAAACCCCATAATTACTGGCAAAAATATCGACCGATTTAAATGGAATTTAGTATGTCGATTGACATATTAGACCAAGGAAAATTTGTTTTTGTACGACACGTGTCACTGTGACAGTTAGTTTTGACGTAAGAAACGTCAAAATTTTATTTCGTCCGGTCGCGAACAAATTTGATGGGTAAATTAGATGAGCGATGATGCACAAAGATCACTTGGTTGACACCTTTTGTATTTAAAAAATCGTGACAGCACTGGTGCTACCCGAGGTGCAACCTTTTTTCTTAAATGTAAAATTTTATGTGCCCATCGGATTTTGAAACAGTATTTTATGCCTTTTTGCGTTAACTTAAAAAAACTATTCGATATTTATAAAAAATTATGTAAAAATAAAAAATGAGAAGTTGAAAACAAAATTAGTAAACAATCAATTAAATCTAAAACAACTACTTAGAACAAAACCTAAACAAAATAAAAATTTCAGCTGTATAATTGGCTTTATTAGGTATATTTAATTATTTTTAAATGGACATTTTCTTGGCAAAATAAAACACTAATTCCTCACAATACACCAAAACACTTTAAAATATAACATACTTAGTATACACAAGCATAACAAGGCGTTAAACCCTACAAAAGGCCTTAACCCCTATAAGTTATTTACATTAAACACTTTACTATTAACACTGGACGCGTGTTTCGTTAATCAGCTTAGCATCATCAGC